CGGTCTCCCTCTCACCTACGAGACCCAACCCAATGCCGATTCAACGTGTCGAATTGACCAAAAAGCTGCCGACAGTGGCCGATTAGTATCAACGGCATAGGACACATCAGGAAGATGAGCCCAGACAGACACTCACCAACAGGCCATCAGTGGCCGACAGCCGGCCATCGGCTTGGTGTGTCACGGCCTTAGACAGCGTCTCGACCACTGTCATCAAAACACCACATGAAGGAACATGTGCTGGAAGAACAGTGTTCATCCCTCCAGGAGAGGTCAGAGACCTGGAGAGTCAATGTGGAGCTGTTCTGGTTGCCCGTGGTGGCCCAGCACCGCACTGGGACTCTAGGCTGGGTCGTTCTTTGTAGATGGATACAGAACAGTGTGAGGCAGAAAAGCTTAAATACACACAACACACCGTTTAAATCTTCAGCTGCTCTGACTCCTGTTTCTCTTTCTAAGAAAAGCAATACTCAGCTGCAGGTGAGTGGTAAAGCACTGCAGACCTGAGACGGACTCAGAGAAAAGCCATTACAGAGGCAGTAACACCCCCCACTCCCCCACCAGCAAATCAACCCGTTAACTGAAGCCTGAGTGATTTTTCTCCTCTTAATGCTGTTGTATGGATTATTGACTTTTGATTTTCTGGGTGCTCTGTCTGAGGGTCTTTTATCACAGCCATTGCCTCCTTAATGATTAGAGACAAAAAGTTAATTATGTAATTATGGAGCCAATAAGCGACTTGTCTGCTTTGCTTTGCTCTGCTGGGGCTTAAACATTATCTCCTGTGTGCACATCGTCATCATCAGCAGCAGCAGCAGCAGCGAGGCGGCCGGGGAAGGGAGGAGATTAACACTTAGAGAGGCAGATGCTAAATTGAATTCTCCAGGCCCACTGCTGTCTGGGAAGCCATTAAATAATCACACACTGCCCCTTTCGACCACCGCACACTGTCGCTCACACACCACAGACTGAATAACTCAGCATGCCAGTGTGCAATATCAGTCCCACCTTTTATTATTATAGCTACATTGTTGACATTGATGATACCTTGTCTCTTACTGTGTGCCTTGTTTCTAACCCTTTGACATGACTACTGGCTGGACAAACCCTTCTTCTAACCTTGGCTAGGCGGCAGGCGGGGCTGATTTACAGACCGCTGGAATACAACAGGAGGCTGTAGGCAGCAGAGGGTCATGGAGGGGGGGGTAGCCGAGAGACGCATGTCCCACTGTCACTGGGGTTATCAGGCTGGGGGGGATCTGAGTTAATGCACTTTTAAGTACAAATTTAAAGTGCTTGTACTTGAGTAGTTTCTTTCACTGCCTCTTTATGCTTCTACTCCACTACATTTCTGAGGGTGTGTGTTGTTTGTGTTGCGTATTGACAGGTTAACGCTGTGAACTCGAGAGGGTAAGGGAGTATTAGGAGAGGAGAAGCCTCGTGGGGAGTCCACTGTACGTAACCTCAGGGTTAAATGAGAGCAAGGATCTTATAATTGGATCTTCAAAAGCCCATACAGGCTTCAGAGGATGTGTGTGAGTGTAGTAGTGTGATGTTGTTGTGCTATATTATGAACAGGGCATTGAACATCAATACCCTATCTGGATAAGTAGGTACATTTTATTTTGCGGGGTACAGGTCGACGGTTCCTGTGTTAAGTGTTCTGTTTTGTTAATATGTTGTCAGTATGTGTTATGGAGGTAAAGAATCAGACACCTTCACTAAACACAGATGCTCTGTTTCACAAAAAGGAAGTGAAGGAAAATGGCCACATCTTCAAATGCTTCCTTTTGTCTGACAACCAGTGGAAGACGACAGAATCCACAAACTACTCACATGTGAAAAGCTGCAAAATGAAGAATTGACAAATTTTCGTACTATGACATTTGTTAAGTCTGTTTCATTTGTATCCACAAAACTACATCATGTGGTCATGTAGCATGGAAAGAGAATGATCTTAGAATGAAGTTAATGTCACCAGGTGTTCCTCAGTCCTCTCTGCCTGCAGCTCCCAACCTGTCAGGACTCATCTGCAACATCACTCCTGTAAAACAACACGAACTTGGCTCCCGGCAGCCCGCCCTGCCCGCCCGGTTCTCGGCCCTCCTCCCCCTCAGAACGCACGCTGCTACTGTAACTGGACCAAACAAACAGAACAATGTCCTCTGCTGTTTTCCACCCATTTAATTACACAACACCGATGTTCCTCATCAAGCCAACAACCAAGAGCGTGAAAACTGAGCTGGACAAAGTGATGGGGGGAGAGGAGGGCATGGTCGTGTTCAGGGTGGTTACTGGGGGTTTATTTTGGCAGGGTCTCTGACCGCTGGGCCCAGAGAGGCGGGAAGCTGCCAGGCGCCCTCAAAAGTGACGGTTTCCATTAGAAGGCGCTAACTGAACCCCGCCTTGCTCGCCAGCCCCTTCCAACACTCTGTGACATTGTCTGGGTCAGTCTGAGTCACAGACCCTGGACTGACAGCGCTGCTATGAGGAGCTGCGTGACACTTGTCCACGTGGCTTTAATCCCAACTTTTTTTAAAAGATCAGCAGAAACTTTGTACATATGGCTTTTAAATACATTTATCATTTTTCTTCACTCTATGTCTCCAATCAAGTTGCCCCTTATTTTGCAGTAACACTGTTAATGTCTTTATCAAACCTATCCTGAAATGACCTTCTCTCACAGATAACAAATGCATCTTGAATCCAGAAAAATGGATGGACCTTACTGTGGCAGAACAGTGACTGTAGAAGTGTCAGCCACTGTGAGATACACAGCTACAGCAAATAACCAGGGCTCAGGAGTGTTCATGTGCACAAATCAATGGCCGAGAGACTTTCTACTGAACCATGCAACATCACCACTGTGGTTAACAAACACACTGAAAACAGGCGACAACACGGAGCCACTGGTGCTGCAGACACCTGTGTGCCTCGGCAGGAAGCTCCAGCCTCCATCACACAGTTGGAGCCACAGATCCAGAGAGGAGCACTGACAGTGACCTGGCACAAACTGCCAACTGCTGACCAACAGTCGGTCTCTGTGCGCCGGGCATCTGTCGGCCCTTTGGTGGCTGTGGAGTGACGGGGGCGCTGAGTTAGCGCTGCTCGTCTGAAAGCAGCAGGGGAAGAGGTCATCTGATCAAGTGAAGCATGAAAGGGAGTAATATACTCTCAAAGGGTGCGAGGGTTAGACCATTGATTCTGCATGGGGAGGTCCAGGCAGCTAATGGGGGGTGGGGGTGTTCACAACAGTGAGGGCATTAGACGAGGCCATATGGAGGGCTCCTTTTGCCTTTTGCAAAAGTTCTTGAATAGGAAGCTTAGAGTCCCATAATACCGTGTGAAATTCTGTTTCAGCTTCAGCGGGGAGTTTTCAAAGCCAGCCTGCAACAGTACCACCATATGTGCCGGTTTGAAATACCGTCTCTTTTATTGGGTGCAGAATCACACTTTGACTCAACAATGAATCTGAAGAACATATGGTCCATGAGCCGCACACACTGCAGACAGAGCTGTGAGCCCCCTGACTGGGTGAGCTGCCGAAAGCGGGACAGTCATACTTCATCCCTGTTGACTAAATCCAAGTCGTCAGCTCCAAACTGTGAAATCAGGTTTTCAAGAGAAAACGGTAATAGCACACGTGGAGGCAGAAGAGATGCTTGTGTCAAACATGAACGACTGAAAGATCCTCTGGCTGACTGTGTGAAGACATTATCAGTCCGTCCATCTGCCGAGGAGCTTCCCCTCAGGCCCACTGACGCCTCAGAAATTAATTACCATGTATTTACAATATCATTACACATCCCCATTGTTTGGCTGCTGGGCCGGTGAAATCACACACTACCTCACGAGCATGGATTCTACATCCTGCCATCACGGATGAATCATGAGACATCAGGCCCCTGGACACAGACGTGTAGAGGGCCCCCGACCCCTCGTACACAGGAGCAGGACTTCTGGACTAAAAGAGACGCAGAATGACCGCGAGTGGCAAGGCCACGCTGTGTGTGGTCATTTAGTCGTCTCTTTGTGATCGTCATGAGTCGACAGCCGTGGCCAGAGGCATCACAGTATGTTGTCATCCGGCCCATTCTTGTCAACGTGATATCTCAGGAACACCTTGAGAGAATTTCTTCAAATTTGGCACAAGCGTTCCCCTTGGACTCATGGATTGGATTTTGGTGGTCAAAGGTTAAAGGTCAAGGTCACAGGGACCTCACATCTGACCTGTTCTCGTTACTTTGACTGACTGGTGGAGGCAACTACAAAGTGGTAGTTCTAGTTGCAATTGTTTTGTGTCTTTTAGCAACGGTTTGTGTCTCTGTGTGGCCACTTTGTGTCTGTTTCGGGTCAGTTTTGTCTCTTTGTGTTTGTCTTGCTGTTTTGCATCTATTTGTGGTCGTTTTGTGATTCTGTAATCATTGCGTTGAGTTTTTAACAATATCAACAGCCACTACAAACAGAGGGCCTGGTCCAGGGTCCTCTGGGGGCCCCAGGTCTGTGCCTGCTGGGCTCGTTCAGTAATCTGTCCGTGCTGCTGATATTAACCTGATGGCATACGACTGCAGAGAGAAAACAGCAGCAATGATAACAACAAGCCAGCGGCGTATGAGTGGAGAAGCTTTGTGTATGTAGGTCAGCGTTTAGCAACGTGTTAGGTTCTGCCTCTGAGCTGTCAGCACGTTTGAAGGGAACGCTGCCTTTCTGCTGGTTTCGTACATAACATGCCAGAAAATTGGACATCTGTGTGAATCTCATTTACATGGACGGCATCTTGCATGAACACCCCCGCCAGCAGCAGCTCTTCAAAGAGGCGGCAGACGTCCGAACGTCCGACTCTTTCAGACTGTTGTGAAGACAGCGAGACAGAGGTGGGCGAGCTGCTCCCTGTGATATCACTGCTGAGCTAATTGAGGAAGTGAGCGTGCTGTTGTGTCTTCGTTCTGTTGTGTTTACATGATCAGTGTTGACACAACCTAAAGGAAAAGACAACTTACCCCCTTTGTCTATGGCAGGTTTTACATCACACGAGGTTGTCAGGCGAAGGCGGAAAAAGAAACAAAGGCGGAACGTCAGCCTGGTTTCTACTGCCCTCCTCCTGTGTGGGAAACAATGAAACACGTTAATACTGACACCTACATTATCAACAGTGCAGTTACTTACAGGAATTGTTCGGCACTTTGCTTGTCAAGACATGTAACCACCATGTCTCGTTTCCATGTTTCCCTTCTGTTACAACTTAAACCAACTACGTACAACATGGCACTTAGAGTTCAATATGTTTAGATTTAGTGAAAACACATGCTTTAGGTGTGTGTGGTATTTTTGGACACTGGGATGATGATAACTTTATATAACAGGTTTCACTTTGTGCAGCAAGGTGGGAAAAGTTAAAACCATAAAATGCTGTGAGAACTAATTAGTAATTCCTAAAATGTGTTTACACATCTCAGTGAACCTGCCGTAAATAAATGCACGTATGTTGTACTTCAGTGGTGCTGTTTCTTTCTCACTATTTTCCCCTTGACCCTTTCACACACACTGGGAGCAATTTGGGATTCAGTGCCTTGTTCGAGAACATGTCAACATGAGGGCGGAAGAAGCCAGGAATTGAACCACCAACTTTCTGGTTAAGAGACAACCTTCTCTATCTCCTGAGTCAAGGTAAAGGTGCAACAGTACAAAATACAGCACCTGTATGTGTGTTACCTGTTATGGCTTGAGTTCAGAATGTGTTGCTGCACATCAGTTGGTTTGTGATGAGCTGATTTCAGCTTCAGGTGCCCGGCCACTCCCTCATTTAGCCCGCTGCTGTCCCCTGATACTTCTGCATCCTAGAAGAGATGGTAAATCCCAATTCCCATATTGTGCCATTCCTCACTCCTCAATCGACCTGGAAGGTGTTCCGGTCCATCCAAGGACAAAGCTCCTCTACTTCCTGTGAGGAGCGGGGAGTGAGGAGCCTCGAGCGAGGACACATGGGAGCACTGTTTGTGCAAGTCTTTTATGGACTGACAAGCCACTTGGTGCCTGGAAGCTTCAGATGATAAATCTGTTTCCTCGATTCCTCTCTCCTTGCGTCTTAAATGGGCAGGACTAAAACTAAAGGAAAAAACGCATGGGAAGGAAACAGATGTAATTAAGGGAACTGGGGTTTACCATACGACTGTGTTCCTCTGTCTTTATCTGCTATTAATGCTTGCTCGGTTTTTGAGGGCTGTTTCGCGACAAGAGACAGTACACTTCTGTACCAGTTCTTTTTGGTGTTTGTCGTTTTGGCACAGCCACAAAATTAGAAATTACCATCTGCCTTTGTGTAAATACTACCCAGCGTCTGACTGGTGCAGTTTTAGAGCAAATCTTCAGGTTCATTTGAAACATGCTGTAAACGGCATCCTGGTCCACGCAGGGTGAAAACTGAAGGTAACAGCCACTTCTCACTCCGTCTGCTGGCTTCTCACTCCTCACACCTCACTGTGTTTGATCTCAGAGTGTCCTGATAAAGTGTAAAGTCTGTGTGACGTTTGGAGGGCGTTCGTCTGTTCCTGATGGGATCCCTGTTTATCTGCTCCATCTTCCTCATCTTTACCTGCTGTCTGATGCTCAGCAGCTTCTTATCCAAACTAATAGGATCATTAGTCCCCCCACCCAGCTGCATTTACTACATCTGTCTGTCCCTCTCATTCATTTCAATAAGGAGATTACTAACTTGTTTACTCTCTTTGAACATTTCATTTCCTTAAGCCAAGTGCATTGAGCAGCCTGTTGAACAGGCCGCTGTGTGCAGCTTAACACAGAGCTGCTGCCAGATAAATGAGAAAACATGTACCCCAGAGCTGTCACACTGTGGAATCCGCATCAAAAATAATCTGTGATAGCAACAGACAAAAAAAATCCACACTAATTTAGTACAAATAGTACAGAAGTTTTGAGGCTGTAAACTGATTCTATCAAACTCTAAGACGACGTTTTCCAAACCTGAAGTTTCCTTCCCAGTGCCTCAGACTTTGTGAACTTTTCCTGATGTTAATTTTGGAGTGTCACAAGGCTCCGTTATTGGCCCTTTGTTATTTTCTATTTATATTTCTCCATGATCAGTGATGTTTGTGGTATGACTCAGCTTGAGACTGGCTTATTTCCTTTGAAAACCTGGATGTTCAGAAACATTTTGCTTTTAAACTCTGATCAGACTGAGATGTTGGGGATCGCTTCACCCAGATATAAAGTTCTGGGTGGCCAGGCAAACATAACCCTTGATAATTATATAACATCTTGAAGGCATGCCTCTTTTGGAGCAATGTGTGCTGAACACCAGTGGATCTCCTGGCTCCTGTAGCTGACTACAAACCCTAAATACAAACTTTCCAGACCCACATTTTAAGTTTTCAGTTTCCCTGCCTTCATCTTCCCTCCAGCTTTACATCAGCTGTTGGTACTTTCCACTGTACATCAGTGTCCTTGTTGTCCTCTAACTGTGGCGAGGGCTGCGGGCAGGGGTCCTGATGCCATTAGTGGTGTTTATTGGCCAGCAGGGTGTTGTGAAGCAACACCCAGGCCTTTAATCAGAAGCCTGCTGGGCCGTCCTCACTGTTTACCTGATACCTCCATGTTAATTACACAGTCTCAACCTGTCACAGAGGGAGGCTGTCCTTCAGGCTGACAGCGCCTGCCAGGCCAGGAGAGCTGGGAGAGGCAGGCGGCAGTGTGAAAGGCCAACCAGTTTACTGGGGGTAGCATGGCTGAAGAAAGTGTGTGCGTGTTTTTAGGGAAAAATAACATTTAATAACATCTTTGTAGTGGACATCCAGCCACCAGGAGGTTTCAGAACTGAAGGATCGTTCCTCTGGTTGTGTTACAATTTTGCAACAACAACTAAAAACCAGTCATGTTTTCCAATTTTCTTGAAAACTGAGGATTATTAAATCTAATATCTGGTCCCAGCGTCTGAAAAGTGGAGGTCAGCTGTTTTGTTTGGTGACAGTAACTGAAGATATGAGGCTTTTGGTCAGTAGGCCAGACAAAACTAAACATATGAAGGGTGGGCTTGCAGAAACTATGATGAGTACATTTTACTATGTATCTGTCAGTGAAAATAACCATTAGTCTATGAAACCTTAAACTATTCTCTGTCTCAGCGCCACTTAAGACCAGTTTCCCTGCTGGTCCCAGTGAGATAGCAGCCGGAGGCTGACACAGCCAATTGGCATCCAGCACAGCATGGCGGACTGTGATGCTGATGGGATATCGCCACGGGAACAGCATGTTTCATGCCCTCCAATGGTCTGCAGATGGTCTCGACCAGGTACACCTTTCACTCCTGTTTGTACAGGTAATAACAACAACTGTGCTCACCTGTGGAGCCAGACAAAGTACATTTACTGAGGCAGTGTGCGGTTTTGAGGTACTTCTACTTCACCACATGACACACAGTATAGATACCAGCTTTCATCAAACTCGATTTGACAGTTCTAGGTGAAAGGTTATCCAATCAGAAGCGTTGTCCCGCTTAGTACATAGAAAGTATAGTAGTGATTTGTATATTAAATAGAGTTGAGCTGATATTTAGTTTCAAATGAGAAGACAACAGATGCCCCTTGAGTTAGGTCTGAGTAATTCCAGAGGCATGAAACAGCTATTTAAAAAAAAATACATAACCATTATTATTGGGGTTTCTGTTTGTAATGTTATATAGTGAATAAAACAAATGGTACATAGAAAGTATAGTAGCGATTTGTATATTAAATAGAGTTGACCAGATATTTAGTTTCAAAAGAGGAGACGACAGATGTCCTTGAGTTAGGTTTGAGTAATTGCAGAGGTGCGAAACAGCTATTTAAAAAAGACACAGCCGTTATTATGTAGTGTGAGATGAATAAAACAAAAATGGACATACAGCTAAAACAGAGTAGTGATTTTGCACATTTTGACCAATGGGAAACATGAGACAACGGATGTCTGAGTTATTTATTGGGGGTAATTATTTAGATGGTTAAAACAGAGCCTATACCATATGTTCCTCATCACAGCACTGTGTTTTTTTGTAAGAGAGGTCCAAAAACAGGGGGTAAAACACTCAGACAAAAGTCTTACACTTAGTCACTCAGGCTCTCCACACTTCGAGATGAATCCAGGTACCCCCTGAAAAGAAAAAAAGTGATGCAATTTTATTTTTATGTTTTACGAAAGTGTGTATGTTAACCAAGATCATTTCATTCATATCAGAGGCAGCTTATCGCAGCATCAATGGCATGCGCCCCGAAGAGCAGCTCAGTAAGTATTTTTGCTACGTTTTTCATTCATATCAGAGGGAGCTTATCACAGCATAATGTCAGCCTGGAATGTAAACTCAGTTCATTTTGATCTGTTAGATGACTTGATTAATAACTTGGTGATAAATAATTCATCAGAAAACCACCCGTTACCTCCACTACCGGTTAATCCTTCAGATTTTGATCTATTAGAATTCTCAGTAAACAGCCTCCTGCATAGAATACGTGATCAGAGAGACAGGGTTTTTTTCAGCGAAAGTTAAAATAGCCCAAGCTCTGATTTTGCCCTATTAGAAGCGGCTGTAAACAATCTCCTGGAACGAATACACTATCAACAGCAGACCAGTTCGGGTTCCCACGAAAATCAGAACACAAATGGATGTAGTCCATTTGGTCTCTAAAAGCATTAAGAGATATTGTCTATTTCTTCTAAATAATATTAATAATTTTTTAGAAACCCTTCAGAAAGACTAATGAAAACTTAGTCATTAAAATGTTTGTCAGTGCAATAAGAGGATTGAGTACCAGCCGAGAAAGTAAGACCACATGCAATCCATTCAATTTTACACCACCATATACCTACATTAAAGTGTTGCACCAAATGATGCCATGAAATACACAATCAGTGTTAATGTTTCCATTAATAAGAGGTTTAACCCGGGAAACCTTCTCCAGCTTGAATTAAGGGGGGATGCGCTTCGGAGAAACGTCTCTGTAATTGCTAATGCCTCAGATGGCATCGATCTGACGCAATTCCAAGATCTGTTAGACCAGGCGATACAATCCAATTTCTCAGTGCTTACTGACGGAAGTCTGGAGCTGGTTGTACAGACGGTTGCCAATCCTAACGGCGGGGGCGGCTCTAAGTGCTTGCTGAGACTAACCTTAAATTGTGAAATAGTTCAGAGGAAGCAGAAATGTCTGTACATGGTTGAAAATCGAGATAACCAGCTTTGCTTCGCAATCAACCTTGCGCATCTCATATTTCCTGAAATGAGAGATGATGAAGCGGAGAGGAAAGGGCGTGAGTTTCAGAGACAAGCGGGTCTAACCGAGCATACGCCTGTGTGTTTTACCCACATACAAAAATTCGAAGAGGTGACTTGATGTAAAATTGTAGTGTTTTACAGAACCGAGAAAGAAAATCTAAATGTATTTCAAACCTCTAGCGCTCCAAATGATCAGCCGTTATACATGTTCCTATTTGACAACCATTATTATGGTGTAAAAAAACCCCGAGCGTTCATCGGCTCCAAGTATTTTTGCAAGTTCTGCCACAGAGGTAATGATAATCATTTGGGACACAGCTGCTCAGGGCACTGTAACGTTTGTTTTAGCACCGACTGCGCAGGCACACAGAGATCCTTATCAGACAGTGTTGTATGTGACCGCTGCAACAGACAATGCGCATCCCCATACTGTCTCATGAAACACAGAGAGTTGACCTGGCACCCCCATGCTGAAATGCATGCCAGCCTATGCCAAATCCATAGAAAATGCTTAAAATGTTCGCGACTGTATTACATTCCTCTGAGTAAACAGACTAAGCCTCACAAATGCCCCTA